GGCAGAGCCACAGGCAGAGCCACAGGCAGAGCCACAGGCAGAGCCACAGGCAGAGCCACAGGCAGAGCCACAGGCAGAGCCACGGGCAGAGCCACGGGCAGAGCCCCGCGGGTAGAGAAGAAAGCAAGCCGCGCGACGGCTGCGCTGCGAGTCGTTTTTGGCAGTGCACTTTTCGGGGAAAGCTCTGGCTGAGCGGGCGGCGGCAGGGCCCGGGCGGAGCGGCAGCCGAGCCGAGCGGCAGCGGCTGCAGAGCACAACATTTTGGGAAAACTTTCACTCTCGGCGAGCAGGCCCAGCCCGGGCGGCCCGGGCAGTGCAGAGCGCTCCAGCCCGGAGGATTTAAATTAAAATGCAGACTTATGTTTCCTAGAGATACAAAAGAGACCCCGTACAAAATAGATTTGACGGTTTTACGGTTTGCATAGAATTTTCAAGTTGAGCACAGTTGCTTATTATTTTTATAGATTTTTGTTAATGTTTGTGTTTAAAAAATGTTATGGACAGATATGGGAAATTTTGAGGTAACCATCACATTGTAATGTTAAGAGCCACCGCGAAAAATATCTTTGTAAATTATTTATAACACACTTCGTATGTGTCAGTTAAAGACACAGCTAGTGTGTCAAAATAACATTCTAAATTATGTGTTTTAAGTAACTTCGCAGATAAGAACACACCAAGTGTGTTATAATAACACACTTGTTGGTCAGGGAAGTATTTTGTTTAAACTGTCTGGCGACTAGCCACGCGATATGAAGAAAGGATTGAGGTAGCGATTACACATTTCCAGGGTGTCTTGAAGGGAGACACTTTAGCTAGTTTGAAAATTGTCCAAAATATGGCCCAACACCAACACTAATGAACTTCGTCATTTCACGATACTTGTTTAAAACTTTTGTGTCCGTGATCATTCTTTCAGTAATAACCACCTTGTTGTTTTGCAATTCCAAATCGTTACAATATCTCGCATTGAACATGTTACAGTAAAATCTGCAGACATTGATCACCGAAATAATAATAGTAATAATAATATTCGTTGCGCCCGTCATAAGAAGGCACTACACTTTTACCGAGGATATTCCATGTATACATTGAAAAATATTCCAAAAACATTCCAGATATTTCACAAAAAATTTCCAGATATTCCAAAAATATTCCAAGGATTCCAAATATTCCGAAAGTATTCCAGATATTACATGTTCACCAAAAATCTGAGTGGTCGACCCCTCGAACTTTTTTCTGCTGTGGTTTGCGAAAGATGATACAGTTTACAGTAGTTGTGCAGGAGCCAATGCTGGGCTGGACCACCGCGAACACTACAGACAGAGAGAGGAGAGAGAGATTGCCAGTGAAAAGCCTCTCTCGCTCCCTGCCTGGAGTCCAGTCCAGCACCAGTCCCGGAGTCCGGCCGGGCCCCCCAGAGCAGCTCCAGGGTTTTAATTACTGCGCGTCCCATGCACAGCGAGCAGCTTCTTTTTCTTGCGCAGCGATAAGGTTACTGCCCTTTCTTTCGGGGAAAACAGAGGCGCGAAGCGTTGTGGCCCGCCACACCCACGCCTGCCCCCTTCTCTCTCTCTCTCTCTCTCTCTCTCTCTCTCTCTCTCTCTCTCTCTCTCTTTCACTCTCCGGGTCTGGCAGCGTGCGTACAGCCAGACTGCATAATCCAACAAACGGGCCGAACCGAGTTTCATTACTATTTCGTTTCTTCGTGGGGCAGCCCAAAGGAAGATGCGCAGCTTCGTGTTTTCTAATCAGAGAGAAATTCTCAGGCGACGCCCGAGACGAGCGCCCGCTCTGCCTTGTTTTTTTTTTTTTTTAACCCGTTCTAGTTCTTGGTGGAAATATATTTTATTATTCTGAGATTCCAGATCACTCTGTTGTGAAAATAAACGAGGAAAGTCTGCGGGACATGTGAGTGTTTTTTTCCTAATTTGAAGAAAGGAGTAGATTTAGCAAAAGTTTGGTTTGCGAGGCACATGATGAAACAGAGGTACGGTGGTCTGATAGACCCCTCGATAAATTTGCGATTGGGCCATATCAACCAATACGACGAGTACACTCAACGCGGCACTCTAATCAGCCCTCTTTGACGTAAATTGGTGATGACGTGTTACATACATAAGCATCGTGTGATAACATAAGTGGATTACTGAGTGACACAAATTCCCAAATCACATGGCTTTCCGTCAACACACCAGGTGGTTTTAAGCCGCAGACGTGACGCGCGAATCGAAATGGTCAAGCAGTGTCCGAATGAACAATACTTCGTTAATTTGTTGCGCCATTTGTTGCCATAAATTGTATGCATACATCATAAAATTATTGACTAAACGCTCATCCCAGTAGAGAGGAGTGGACAGTGATATTCTATAAAGTAAATCCTACAATGAGTCATCTCCCTCGCCGCCACTCGTACTACCGGGTACCCACACGAGGTACTCAGTCGGATAGGTACCCGGAAGGCGCGTCGCGACGCAGGGCATTGTGGGCGGGGCGGAGTGGTACTGCAGAGTGCAGCCCGACGTAGAAAGCACTTTTCCTTTCACCGACCCCCTCCCCCTCCCCCCTCCCCGCTATGCCAGGATGCCCCCACCGCGCCACCGCGGCGCGCGGCCCGGAGCCCCACGGAGCTCCAGGGAAGCCCCCTCCCCCCCAATCCCCTCCTCCTTTACCACTTGCACTCCGGCCGAGTCTCTTCCGGGTCGTCCTTTGCAGTGCCTTGCAGGCAGCGCTGCACTTCCACGCCACGCCACGCTCACCTAGAGAGGGATTGTGTCAGCCAGCTCCGCGATGTGGAGCGTGGGGCCGCGGGGTTGGGGCCCCCAGTTAGAATTGGGTCACAACAATGGTCAAGTAAAATACAGGTGTCTTGACAAGTTAAACAATTGTGACTCGTGCAAGAAAAAAATGCAATTGTACACCCCTAAGCGTATAGAGCTTAATGTGTATTTTTATGAGAACAAAATAATTTTCCTCAGTAAGTTAACATCTACGTATATTTCAAAAAAAAGTATCTTGTGACGCCTGTAAAATCCCACTATTTTCTATTTTCAACGATGCAAAGAATTTTCGATCTTTTCGCGGTTCTTGAACTATACAAAGAAACATTGCTTGCAAAACAGCCGTGCGGTGTTCAGGCAATTAAGGAGCGAAATTCATTATTTAAGAAAAGTACTGTAGACATATTTTGTTTTTGTTTTTCACACGCACGTTTGTCAGATAACAGTCGACTTGTCTTCACAGAGGTTTAAAAATACACCCTGATCCTGTAAGGTACTGGGCCTGATGTTCCACCAGGATATAGGCTATATTAATGTAAGGCATATTTTGTCGCGTAAGAGTATAATTATTGTAGGGAGGAATCTTACTCAAATCTAGTGATAGCGACCAAAAGTAGTAACTAAAAGGACACAGCGAAAACATAGGGAAATTCTGACTCCCGGGGGGTTGGGGCCGAATCTACACTCGTTAATTTCCTGCCTCACAGCGCTTTGCAAACTCACAAAAAATAAGTATAAAAACAGCTGCAATGACGCCGCGAGCACAAACCTGTTGCAGCGGCCCCATGCCAGGCGTGCCTCGCCGCGCCAAAGGCGAGCTGCACATTTCCTGCACGACCGGAACGGTGCCTCGCACGAAAAAGGCGCGCCAAAGTAAACGTGTTAATTACGTATTTGGCACTCCGATGCGTTCCAGCGCCTGGCTCTCACGCTCCAGGCAGGCCCGCCTCACAGAGCGCTCCCGGGAGACTGGCCAAGCTGCCCAGCAGTACATTACGTTAGAAAAGCTTTACTCAGTCGGTCAACTCATGTACCAGTGCAATAATAATAAAAAAATTAATGGCTCCACAAAATTTAAGTTGTAGGACAATTTTTTTCGTATCGTAACAAAATCTTCTGAAAAACTATAATGTTTTAGAAAAGAACTAAAATAGTTCACATTCAAATTTTACAACCATTAAAACCGAAACTGCGAATTACTCTCAGCAAGAATCTGAATAATAGATGGTTGCAGATGTCCTCGTGCAGTGCTTCGTACAGAGCTGCATGACATTTCACGATGCGCCTCGTGGACATGAAAACAAACATCCCCTCTATATATATCGCGTCTTAGATGTTCCTTGCAGTCTCCCCATCTCCTCCCCCTCCCCCGTCCGCATGCAGTCAGTGCAGTAACGGTGTTACCGGCGTTACATCTGGCGAGCTCACAGCTACCCCCCCCCTCCTGCCCCCCTCTCCAGGCCCCCTCGGCTGCTGAGAGCACTTTCTCCAGCCCCTCGCTGCCACGCCGCGGCGGCCGCTCCGCGCGCCCCGCCCGCCTGTCTAGGCCGGCTCCTTCCGGGATCTTTGTTTCCGTCGTGTCCCGCCATGCTGCGCTCCACTCCACTGGCTTGCTGCTCGTCGCCGTCTAGAGTCGTCGTCGTTGTTGTCGGCAGAGAAATGGGGGGCGGTGATTGTCCTGGGAATGATAAAACTACCTCATCCCCGCGCGCGCCTCCGCAACGCTGACATCTCAATTCAAGAACACTGCGAAAATTGATAGTGTCATTCAACAGTCGACACCCATACAGCATTTCGCCCAAAGAGGGAAAGTCCTGAAAATTGACGGTTGTTTTCACGAACGAGAGCAAGAGTTATTACTCTACCAAAACACCGAAAAAAAATTACCATTCTTCATAGGATGTTTACGTATTTTCCGATAAGCAAAGCAAAAATTAGTCTATCTCCGACTTTGCTTATCTAAGTGTAGGACATTTGTAAGTGGCAAACTTTTGCTCTACACTCACTGGTAACTGTACAACTAAAACGTTCGTCCCTTACAACAGCAGAACTGCTAGTTCTGCACTGAAAGTAGCTCTTCTGTATGACGGAAAGTTCTGTAATTGTTAGCGGCGAACAACAGTTATCACTGTAGAACCAAGGTTCGCCACCTACAAGTGAAA